GAGTATTTTTAAGAGAGCACCTTAGAACTTTCCACCTACTGTGCATAACATGTTTGAGAGTATTTTTAAGAGAGCACCTTAGAACTTTCCACCTACTGTGCATAACATGTTTGAGTTCTGAAATTTAAATAGCTTTATGTAATTATATAAATAAATGCCACACATAAAATCTTAACATGTTTTATTTAAGATTAGTTAGTTTTTTATTTGAATTTGAATTCTATTATTTCTAATACTAATTTGAAAAGTGCTCTTATATATATATATATATGTGGTTCATTCCCCTTGTTACAGTAATAATACTTACAAGCTGCTAAAGCAAGCCCCATGCATGTGTTAAACCATAGAATAAAAATTACAGATCATGCATGGCAAAGAAATTGAGCTTGGATGAAAAGAAGATCCCTAATTAGGTGCTTTTCTCTATATGTTAAATAAAAAATAAGAATATCTAATTAACAAAATTAAGTCTCATTTTAACTTTAAGTGAATAGTAAATAGAATCACATTAACTTCAAGTATTAGATATCTATTTTGTCAATCAGAAAAGAGAAAAAAAAAACACTACATCAGTAGAAAGATTCTCTAATCTACTAATTACGTAAGCACATATACGATAGCTATATATATTACAAACGCTTTGGTGAGCTTTCTAATTCCTTCCCTTGTCTTAGTAATAGTACTTACAAACTGCTTAAGCACCCCATGCAAATGTTACCCAACAGAATAAATGTTATACATCATGGCCAATGAATTTAGGAGCTTGGATGAAAAGAATAATCCCAAATTGCATGCTTTTTTCCATGTGTTGGATAAAGAATGAGAATATCTAACTAACAAAATTAAGTCACATGTTTAAGTGAATAATAAGTAAAGTTGAATTAACTTGAAGTATTAGATTTCTATCTTGTCAATAAAGAAAAAAAGGGTTAACACAAACAAAATTCTGCCTATAATAGGAAATCCCATTGTGTATAAAGGTGTGACAATAGTAGCACTTCATTGTTCGAAACCTGAAATAAGAAATAACAGGAAGTTACAAAATTTATGATTGCTAGTAATAAAATCCATCAAACTAATTACACGCAACTTTAAGGATAGCATCAGATAAAAAAGTTACAACATATATTGAAATTGGATAAATGAACCTTTTTCTAGTTCAATGTTAGTGCAATGTTAGTCACATCTTATGATTATTTTATTTTATTCTTTGGAATTTTAAGATTTGGATTTTTTTCATTATTTTTAGAGTTTTTTTATTTGTAATTTATAAATTATCTTAATAATAAGAAATTATTAATGTTTAACAACCCATTTGGCTTGAATAAGATTATATTTCTCAATAAATATTTAATAATGTCAAAATTTTTTTATATATAGTAAATTACCTATCTAAATATACTCAATCAATTAAAAATTTTCCATATATGATTCCTATAAGTAAATATATGAACTCAACTGTTAATTTTTAAAATGTTGATGTTTTTAATTAAAACTCCATGAAATTGAATTGATCTATATTATTCTCAATTTATTATATATTTTGTTAAAAGTAAAGAGACCCTTCCAATTAACTATTACCTTAATTCTTCATAATTGCCACCATAATCAAAGGATAAGAAAACTAGATTGGAGATGTATAAAATAGATACTAGAAGGTTTTATCAAGACACTTCATTTAATTTAGAAAATAGTTATTATTTTTAAACTTGAATATTCAAAAGATTTTAATTTATATAGATCAAAGTATGCAACAATTACTAGATGAAAATTTATTTAGGAAAATGAACATAAATTTCGTTGTAACTTCTTGAATTATGTAATTCATACCTGAGATGAAAGGCCACCAAACCCCCAAATGTTGATCACATTAGTTGTTTGTCTAGAAATTAGCCATCACAGAAAAACTTGGGCAAAGCCAAATGATTGAGATGAATTCGATACCTTCTCCTAGCTGCTTAAGGTGATTAATGTGCTGACTTGAAACCGCTGCATAAAAAAGCATTTCCATCCAGACATCCCTAATCAACTCCCATTTATTTCTTGATCGCTCCAAAACTGTGACTAGTTGGAGCATTTCTTCCTGTATATTTTCAAATGTTCTCTCACTGCAACTTGAAAAAAAAAGATGAATTTTAGAGAAAAATAAAACTACCTGATTTTATAATTTTAGAAAAATAAGAAATTAAAAAATCAAACCCAGATTCCAGCTCCTCTCTGGGCTCACTGCAAGTAAAAAAAAAATTTAGAAAAAAATAAAACTACTTTAATTCTAATTTTATGAAAATAATTCAAAAAATCAAACCTAGATTCAATCTTCTCATTGTGCTCAATGCAATTTGAAAAAAAAAAAAAAGATTTTAGAAAGAAATATTTTTAATTTAATTCTAATTTTATAATTCTATTAAAGAAAGAAATTAAAAACATCAAACCTGGATTCAATCTCCTCTTTGGGAACATTATCTTGATGAGAAAGTAATGTGGAAGCAGCATTTCGTAAATTAGTTGCAGGTAACTCAAGTCCTTTTAGCTCGTCATAAGCATGATCAAGCCAAAAACTCTTGCTGTGCTCGGGCAATATCAGGGCAGGACACATAACTAGTAGATACATCATGTAATCTGATAAGTATTTACTGGTTTTCTTCATTTCATCACCATCATCCTCTTGCGAGCAGCAAACACTTGTGGCAAGATGCCATACTATGATGCTGTGATCAAAGTCCAATTCAATGCTCCATTTTAGTTCATTAGATTGTTGCTCATGTTGTATTGCCTTTTCTCCTCTTGATATCTTGAATCCTTCCTCCCTAAAGAATGAGCTATAGAGGTCGTCCAAAATTTCATTGGAACCGTCTTTCAAACAATTTGGAACTTCCACAAATTTAGTGAACCAGTATTTGCACCACATTTCAACAATTTCATGGGCATTAGTGATCTTCAGTAGAATGCCCCATGATTGGTTCACCTTCCTTTTATTGTAACGCCAACAGTATTCCGATAGATCAAATTGACCCATCTGAATTGACCGCCTTTTGCTTCGATGCAATAAGCAAGGGAAGCACTTTAAGGCGACGTTAAATATTTTGCGTACGAACACAATATCATGAAATTGCTCAACAAGAATTGCCCAATCAGAAGAAAGCATTACACATGCTGCATAAAGGTCCAGTGCAATAGCTCCACTCAATAAGATGCCAGTTATGCCAATATCAATTTTTGAGAAATGGAATTTTGGCTCATTAATTATGCTGATAAAGAAGAGTAGTAGAACTGACAAGGAGCTAGCGAAACTGGTGAAGCGCAATAAGCATCCTAACTTGGTGTAAATCAAAGCAGCTTTGGTGTAAACAACGTCAAATATAAATCCAATTTCAGCAACAAGACATTGGAACATATCACCAAACCTCTCATGACTTGTTCTATCGAAGTCATTAAAGACTTCGGACACACGAATGCCGTCCACACCTGTAGTTTCTTTGATATAAGCTTTCATCTTTTTTCTGACTTCAGAAACATTATGGGATGAGAAGTAATCATTAACATCTGGTCTCGTAATTATAAACAATACATAAGCAAGCAACACATCTGGGTTTGCATTTAGATGGTCATTAAGGGCTGAAGAGTTATTGGTTTGAGGACCTTGAGGATTAAAGATATTAGAAATGACTGGTTTTGTTTTCTGTGAATTATTTTGCTTGAGACACAATATCTTCTCTACATATTTAATAATCCCAGCTAAGACCAGAGGGAAACTTAAAAACGAGATCCAAGAAAAGGTCCACGACAAACAAATGACATAAACGACGAAAATGGCTTTGACAACAAGGATGAAGAGGTGCCTAATCCAAAGCTTGTTGTCTTCAAAAGAATAAGCTGTGATAGCGTCAGGGCCACCAAGATGTAGCAAGAGTAAAGGAGCCCAGTATGCTCTTAAGACATTGGTGGTGGGAGATTCTGTATATGAACCGGAAAGCTTGCCCAAAGTAGCAAGGACAATCCAGTCAGCACCTAAGTAGGCAAACCATAGAACGATTTTGAAGAAAGGATTAATTTTGTATTTCCTACGCCCACCTAAGACAGAGAGGACAATTTGTAAGGTAAGACTAAAAAGAACCAATCCCCTCACATCCCATTTCTGCCACGCTTCCATCAGCAATATTGGAAATGAACTCACAACTGAGCTTGAGTTCCTGCCGTTTATAAATAAAATAAATAAATAAACAAATTGCACAAAAAAAAATATAAGGATATCCTTTTCAAACATATATACACAAATATTTTACAACATAGATTGCACGTTAAAGTGTAGTTTAATAAATGAATTTTTAAAACACCCTTAAATAAATTATTTATTATATTATTTTATTAAAAATAATTTAATATTTTTACTGACTAAATTTTACTTTTAACATGAAATCTAAGGT